GCTGACAAAAATCAGGATTTAAACGAAATATTCGAGTTGTGTAGACCCGAATGTCTCCAATCGACTGTGGAAGTTCCAAATTTCTACCGACGGGAAATTACGAGCTGGGAATTTTTCAGACAAAGCTTCTTGGGCAAAAAGCCCATTTTTGCGAAGAGTAGCTTGTTTAGCCAGTAAATTGCAGGAATTTAATTTCTTGTTTCATGCAGCAAGCGGTCCGGGCTTGCTAATACATCATTTAATTAAAGCATTAAAGGGCAAAATAAATATAAAATCCGGACACTTTTGCAGCTAAACGGCCGGCAATTCGCGAGCGTTAATCTAACGGTTGAATTAGAACGCAAGCACCGCAATAAGAAAATTAAATATGGCCCATAAAGCAGCTTTAACGTAAGATGGAGGTCTTTGGAAAAATTACCTGCCCTGTCTAATAAAAAAGCACAACAGCTCCCGACGCGCTCCCACAGGATAGCAGGCAGTCAGGAACACTTATTCTGAATGTCTTAAGGGAAAACACGCACATAGATGCGGGATGGTCCCTTGATACCACGTCGGTGGAAGAACGTCTGAATTATTGTATAAAAAGGCATCAGAAGGGGCCTTGACGTGACGTGAATCACCGGGAAACTTGGCCACTCTTCTGCGCCCTCAAAGCTCAGCCAAACACAACTCATGTCCCTCAAAGTTATTATTAGCAATTTAAAAAGCGCATTTGCATTCAGGTGACAACAGCCAGTGGCAATAAAAAGTTTCATAGAGGATTAGACCAATAAAGTTCCAGACGACTGCTTCGGAGTTTTTAAATGCGCTTAAGTTCCAAACTGTCCGTGTTTGCGAAAAAGGGAAACTTTCGCCAACGTTTCCTCCAACAGGCGAAAATTGTCTTTTATCGCTCTCCCGAATTAGGTTATCTGCTTTGTTCCAAGGCGGTGCGGAAAATGCCCGCCTGGCTCTTCTCCGGAGACCGACCGGGACCAAATAATATAAATTCGTTTTATTTTGTGCCAGAAGTTCGGCAATGATGGGACGACCTTCGACTAGTTTCTCCTAATTGGGTCTAATGGTACAGAGAACCTGCTGGAACAGACGATCGGGATCTGCCCATAACATTTCAGTTTTATGCCATTATCTTCCATCTAGGCCGGGCAAAAATTATTGGCGTCGAGGCGCCGATGATAAGCCCTTAATTGTAATCGGCGAAGTTGAAACGACAGGGTTTCCAAGCCCTTTTAGCTGGGCGAAACTTTGGAAACTTGTTTTCGGTTGCACAAGTTGATGAACATTTTTCGATTTTCAGTCTTTAAACGACCTTAAATGTATCACACTTCTGGGCCACCAACAACGCTGAACCCTGATTATCAAAAGAGATAGACTTTCGAGGCCATTCCTTGCAACTAATGGGTTTTTCGGGTTTCTAGGCCGTAGTTCGATAGAATTTCTTGCTGACGTTTCGCAAGCACGAGTGGCTTGCATCTTCAGAAGTGGTTTGCTTGAACGCTTACACTGTTCTCATCAGAACCCGTTCAGT